CTTGCGAGGAGTGGGGAGAACGGAGGGGAGACACCTGCGCGCGCACACACTCTCTCCCCCACTCCGGGCAATCCCCACCGATACGACACTCCCTCCCCACTTACCCTCGCTGCCAGTACGAAACGCGCTCGCTAGGGGTGGGATCAAGTTCAATGTGTACTCATGAATCTGAATCAATTCGATAAGTACAGTTGGCCGAAAAAAGTATTCGTATACCCTGTGAAGCGTTCAACTTCCGCCGCTATTCCAGCTCGCGTATGCGATGGTAAATTAATCGCTCCTTGCGTGTCTGACGTGGGAACACGATACGCCGCGGTGTTATGAGGTATTCATTACGACGGTTATCGAGCTTTCGCTCGAAGTTACAAATTAACGCTTTCACGGCCGGGTTCATGTGTCCTGAGCCTCAAACTAAAAATCTTCATTTAAACGACTGAAAGCGTACGACGTGTATGCGCGTCAATCAAAAACTATTTCGGTGCTGTTGACACGTATGTCGTGCCAAATAAAAAATTAACCAAAATTAGCTGAAAAGTACTTCGTTATTGATAGCAGGAACAGTTGCTCTGAGTTCGATGTGTATACGTCAATCCTAAACTTTATTTCGGTGCAGTTGACGTATGTACATGTGTAAAAGGAAAATTACCTAAAGTTACAGAAATGATTCGTGATACGTAGTAGGAACATTTGTCCTGCATTCGCCATTGCTTGACTGCAATTACTATTCCACGAAGGATTTTTAAAACGAAAATTTGTAGTTACCTGTTTATGATGAATCCATATTTTAGATTCAAAAGATCTTACAGTTGCATCGCGAATACGATTTATGTATTATGAAATTGCAGGTTTCGTTTGTATTAAACAATTTTGGAGTTGCTAGTAATTTCTTAATGATAAAAAAGTTCATAGAAAAAGTAACAATAGTAATAAATAACAGAAATGGAGAAATAAATAAATTAATTTATATATTTTAATAAATGAGGTCTTTATACAATCTGGAGTACAGTTTTAAGTACCATTCAATTTTATGACTAGCTTTATTAATTACCCAAACAAGTTTATTAAAGATACAAAATGGAAGAAGTCATAAGCAACAGCGGGATATGAATAAGCGTGACGTGATGCATACTACACACACGGTTGTAAATATGTTAGACATTTTTAAATAATTTATGTGACAGTTGATTATACAACAGGGAATAACAATTGAAGAGAAATATTTATTGAATAAACTAAATGAGAATTATCGACGTCATAATTTTTGTTTTTACAAGAAAACGTATCAGACTCTCTTCCCTCAAAATGGATTTCAAATTTGGAAAATTTTATAAGTTTCTGGATGTTATATTCTGACAAAAATTCTACAAAATTTTATGGATCCTATAGTGATTGAATTGATATATTTCAAAGGAATCATCTGTTCCTTAGTTTAACTTTATCAGTGAGTGTTAGGTTAGGTCAGTTAGCTCTTACAATAGTTAAATTATAATTTGTTAGGTTAGATTACAGTCATTTAGGTTAATGAGGTTAAGATAAGTTACAGTTATCGAAGTTAATTAGAACTAGGTTAAATTATAGTAACTGTTAATTAGGTTAGGTTAGATTACACGATTTATCTAAACCACAGAATTAATATAATTTGTTCGAACGAGAAATCAAAAACAAACCAATTTTGAACATTGGATATATTTCAAATCGCTGGCTTATACATCTCGATAAAAAATAACAATTGTATTTATAAAATCATAAATTCAATAGTAAATCAACGAGAAGAAACATTAATAATTAAATCATATAAAATCAGTATTTTTAATGTATTAATGATAATATCAATTTTTTTATTGTTAACGTTGTCCGCCTGACGACCATTTCTCTTATTCCATTCTTTTCAGAAAAAATATAGACATCTTATCTTTGTGATTGAATTACGCAGTTTGTTAACAATGTGATCTGAATCATAAAACTTGCTGTCTACAATTTAATTTTGTAAAACCGTAAAAATCCATGTAATTTCTACTAAAGTTTATTTGAAATATACGAATAAAAATCTTAATTTGTATTTAATTACATCGAAATAACAGTAAATTAATGGTGACTGCTACAATTAATTGAAGGATATTAAATCAATCATTCGTCTATGGTTCCCGCCATTTTGAAACGACTCATCTACCTCTCTCGATAAACATCCAGGCTCCGAACAGCAGACGCTCAAAGAGATTTCAATGTGTTCTGAAAGTTGAAACTTGTTTGGATCGTTTTAAATTAATATTTGCATCTTTCGCAAATTTTCAAGTTTCAAACACCTGAAACTATTTTGATGAAAATTTTCAAGTTATCGATTTTTTACATTTTAAAATTTTTCAATTTTCGAGTTACTACACTTTTAACTATCGGAACTTTTGAATTTTTATATCTTCAAACTTCTGAAGTTTTGAATTACTACACATTCAAATTTTGGAATTTTCGAATTTCTTAATCTTAGAGTTTCTACATTTAGAAATTTCTCAATTTTCAAATTTCTGTATAAATGTCTTAATTTTCGAATTACATCTTTAAATTTCGTAACTTTCAAGTTTTTACATCTTTAAATATCTAAAAAGTTATGTTTAAAATTATATTTAAATTTTTTCTAGAAATTATATTTTTAAATTTCAGATTTCTAAATTTGTAAATTGTCGTACTCACAAATGCTAAAGCCGTCAATTTTCTAATCTCCAATCACTATATTTCTACAATTTTTCAAATTCTCAAACTTCGAAAATTGAAAATTTCTTCGATTTCCAAGTGTCTGAATCCTCAGATTTCCAAATCTCTAAATTACTCAATTCCGGCACTCGAAAGTCTCCAACTTTGAAAACAAAAAATTCTGAATATCCAAAATACAGATACTTAAGTTTCTACATAAACTTTAAACCAATTCTTTTTAAATACCTTAACCTCAAACCCGTACATTCCTAAATACTTAAACTTCATTTCCTTACAAGTCTAAAATAACATTAAACCTTAAGTTTTTAAATATATAAATTTCAAACCCCTCAGTCTCTAATTGCATAAACTTCAAAACTTTAAGTCTCTGAATATCTAAATCTTAAACCCTTAAATTCTTAAATATCTGAACCACAAACCCTTAAATTCTTAAATATCTGAACTACAAACACTCAAGTTCCAAGATACACAAGCTTCAAACCCTTCAGTTTCTAAATATGCAAACCTCAACCCCTTAATTCCCAAATATCTAAAACCCCTAAACATGAAAACTTGTAAACTTTGTAAATGTGCAAACCTACAAATAAAAATCGAACATTAACCTGCACCACAGTTCCAAACAAATCCAAATTTCCAGTAGAAAGTCACTACTCTCGTAAAAGAAATGTTGAAATACACAGGTGATCGGCCTTTGAAAAATCGTTACTATCGCAAACTTATTTCGCTCGGTCTGATTTAAATATCTGAACTACAAACACTCAAGTTCCAAGATACACAAGCTTCAAACCCTTCAGTTTCTAAATATGCAAACCTCAACCCCTTAATTCCCAAATATCTAAAACCCCTAAACATGAAAACTTGTAAACTTTGTAAATGTGCAAACCTACAAATAAAAATCGAACATTAACCTGCACCACAGTTCCAAACAAATCCAAATTTCCAGTAGAAAGTCACTACTCTCGTAAAAGAAATGTTGAAATACACAGGTGATCGGCCTTTGAAAAATCGTTACTATCGCAAACTTATTTCGCTCGGTCTGATTAGTATTTCTGCTATTCACAGTTGCTTAACGACATCGTGAACGCGTTCATTATCTATCCGGATGCTTTCCTTCAACTGCGACGCGGCTGATCCGCAGGAAAAGCGAGATTTTCCGTGTGACAGCCTCGGATGATTTTCTGCTTCAGTTTCGCTTGTGTTTCTCTGTCTCCCCACTTCCCGTTTGAGTCGGTTCCCCTTCCGGCTCGCGGGGTTCTCCTACCAGGCGGCCGAGCTGCGCGGGGCGTGGCCTGCGTCAACGTCGTCCCCGCCTCCTTATGCATTATTATAGCGAGCCACTCGTGTCTCTATGATTTTATATGCCGCGTGAATATTCTATCCGCTTCCCCACCGCGTTGTATACGCGAGCGCGGGCGCGCTACACGCGCGCGTACGATTGTATTCTCGTCGTCGAGCTGACGCGGTTTTTATAGCTGCACACGTTGAAACGCTGCGAGCGTTTCAGAGCGGAGTCAGGCTTTACGCGATCCGCTTTTCGTTCGGTATTATCGGATACGGACGGAGGTATTGAAACGTCAGCGTTCCTCTCCGGTGTCTTTTTAGTGTTACGGGGAAGGGTAGGCTTGGAAGCTGGCCGATTTTCCGCCCTCCATTGGGACGATGTTGATGACATCGTTCGAGGAAGGTGTTCTAGAAACGCAGGCTTGAATTATAGCCGGAACGAAGTTCTTGTATGGGACGTTTCTTTATGAATCATAAGTCGCCGGTGAGAATTTTATTGCTGGCCTGACACCTTTCTTCAAATGTTTGCAAATATTTTACAAAATAGGAAATATTGTATTGCAGAATTTATGTTATGCTTGGTATGGAAGATTCAGTTAGTATGGCATCAGAAATAATAACAGAATAAAATATGGTTCATCTGTCATTCATTAGTATGGATTAGATGGGCCATCTTTTTTGAAATGTTTGCAAATCGTGTAAGGTGAAGTGGGGTAAGTTCGTAAATCGGGGCAAGTGCGTATACAT